GAGAGTAGGATAATCAGTGGAGCTCCACTTCAGGTTCCTCCCAATCTAACATTCTGTGATCTGTAGATCCTTTGACATTCAGTGTTCCAAAACCGTTCCACCTCTCACATCCCATGTCCTCAGGTGTCTCCAGCTCTAGGATTTTTTATTTCTAGAGGCCTTGAATTCAGACAAGACTTTGTGTAGCTGGTAGCAGCTACTGGGACAGGATGCAAAGAAGAATGACCTACCTTCAAGCCCTCCCCTCTACATAAAGTCCAGAGGACAAGAGAACCTACCCCTTGTTTCTATAGTCACTATACTCCACCTGGTCTTACTGGGATTCTGTGTTCACCCTCCACATCTGACTGTGAAGCATCTCCCACAGTCCCCTGCCACAAATGCTTCTATTTCAACTAAGAAGTTAAGTAGCCCTAGAGGGAGTCTCAAATAAAATCACAGCCTTTCCATAAATGTATTTGAATTGCATGGAGTTAGGAAACAAGAGTTATAGAAATGATCATGTAAGTGATCTTTTTCAGAGAACAGAATGGGAAAGAAACAGACTTCTCTAGAAGAAACTATTTGACAGACAACAAACAGCTTAGGACAGGAGTTAGAAAAGCTTGGTCACATAAGAAACTCATTGAAAATTAGATAGGAACAGAGAGCAATCAATGTCTCCATGAGACAGCCAAGACATATTAGGACAAAATCAAAAGACAGAAATATTTCATAAAAATGGGGTGATTTAAGACTCAAAGTACTACTAGAAAATGTTAAATGCAAAAAATCTACATATCATATTTAAAGAAATCACAAATGAAAACTTACCTAGGTGAATCAGAATGTGAAATGAAAATAGAAAAAAAAATACTTTTTAGCTCCTAACAGAAACTCCATATTGTTAACTCTAGAAAATTTCTTTCTTTCCAATTCTTTTTTTAATTGACTTATTTTTAGTTTTCAACAATTACTTTCATAAGCTTTTGAGTTTTAAAATTTTCTCCCCCTCCCTCCCTTCCTCCTTCCCCAAGATGGCATGCAATCTGATATAGGCTCTACATATACATTCCTATTAAATATATTTTCACATTAGTCATGTTGTAAGGAAGAATTAGAACCAGTAGTAGGAACCACAAGAAAGAAGAAATAAACAAAAGAAAATAAGAGCAAATAGTATGCTTGTCGCGGCCGCTGCAGTGGAGAGCATGAGACCAGCTCAGTGCTCAGTAACCCGGAGATGCATGGATGAGGCGGGAGACAGCAAGGTGGCAGAAGCTCCGTTTATTGAGTGCAGGTAGCTGTCTTTTATAGCCCTAGCGATGCATGTTCAAAGCGTGATCCCCTTGTGATAGCCAATCATCAGGTCTGCTGGAGCTCGTGTCAGGACTCATGTCCCAATGAGGGGAGAGCCAAACCACCTGTGGGAGCTGCATGTCAGCAAAGGAGAGGTCTCTGTGAGACTTCCTTATTTTTGCCACGCAACTATGTTGTGACCCTCAGCTTCTACTGATAGAAGCTAGAACTCCCATGGGAAAGTTCCCTCAACAGAGCTCTCATGAGACCGTGAGACATTCACCCTAACAATGCTTCCATCTCCATTCAGACTCCATAGTTCTTTCTCTGGATGTGGATAGCATTTTCCATCATGAGACTTTTGAAAATGTCTTAGATCCTTGAATTGCTGAGAACGGCTAAGTCTATCAAAGTTAGTCATCGCACAACATGGCTGTTACTGTGTACAGCGTTCTCCTGGTTCTGCTCACTTCACTCAGCATCAGTTCATACAAGTCTTTCCAGGTTTTTCTGAAGTCTGCCACTCATCATTTCTTATAGCACAGTAGTATTCCATTATATTTATATACCACAACTTGTTCAGCCATTCCCCAGCTGATGGGCATTCCCTCAATTTCCAATTCTTTGCCACCACAGAAAGAGCTGCTATAAATATTTTTGTACATGTGGGTTAGAAAATTTCTTAACCAATATCCAGAACCTCCATTTTAAAGAACTTCAGAAAGAAAAAAAAGAGTACATGTACCAATCAACCAATCAGCATCACTGAAGATCTGGTAGCTACCACTGTAAAGGAGAGGAAAGATTAGATTATTATATTCCTGAAGGTAGAAACTAAAGTGAAACAACCCATTATAACTGAATTAGCATAGCCGAGTATAGTATTACAGATGGGGAAATTGGAATTTAATGAATGGAATAAGGATTTATTAAGCTTCTGCTCTGTGCCAGCCATTGTGTTAAGCACATTTTAAATATTATCTCATCGAATCCTCCTAACAGCCCTGTAATTTAGGTGCTATTATAGAAGACAATAGAAGACTTCCAATTATTCATGATGAATGTTCTACATCTAAATAGATACTTGAAAGGGGCAGCTAGGTGGCACAGTGGATAGAGCACCGGCCCTGAAGTCAGGAGGACCTGAGTTCAAATGTGGCCTCAGACCAAACACTTGACACTTACTAGCTGTGTGACCCTGGGCAAGTCACTTAACCCCAATTGCCTTAAAAAAAAAGATATTTGAGTCTTAAACAGTGGAATCAAGAGAAACATGGAGAAATGTATGCTTTTGAGCATATGGAAGGGATTATGTGATGAAGTGTTCATAGTCTAATAGGGGGGAAAAAAAACACGTCTTCTCAGAACTCTCCTGTCTTCAATGGTCCTAGAGGGGATTAAAAGAACTCGACATTAGTTTTGTTATATTCTGGTTATGTTAAGAGACGAAAGATAAAGGACAGGGGAAAGAATCAGGGGGAGTGAGAAGACTAAACAAATGTGAAGTGAGTAGACTACCATAATTTTTTCTTCTGAAATAAACAAGGATTAAATACATATGTGAATGTACAAAACATGCACATAAACTGAATTTGGTGTAGGCATACATGAAACTCAAGCTACTTTCCTGCCTTTTCCAGGCCCCTGATGGCCCAAATCCAGCCTTTGTCATCACCTCTTAGAAGGAATTTCACATTTTGGGCTTCAGCAACATTTCCTTGCTAGTAACTAGACTATGTGTAAGCCATAGGAAATGAGAACATCAGGCACACTTACAAGAATACTGTGTTCATCTACTGCCAAGTGGAAGAGTAACTCTATTGGAAAGATCCAAACTGTTACTTAGGAGAAAAAAAAACCCTTAAAGTCACCTGCAATGACAACACAATTTAAATACAAAACACTTTAAGCCAGTTGGAGTATGAATGTTTCAAAGCCAGCCATGAGGAGATTTTTTTTTCCAGATGATTAACATTGGTTCTAGCATTGCTGTCTCAATTCTCTACTGTTGCTAGAGTAGAAAGGAACCTCCTGATAGTTACACTAATATGAACAAGAGAGACCAGCTAAGATGGTAGAGTAGCAGGAAGAAGTACAGGCAAGCTTACCCCCATGACTGAACTACAAAGAAATAGAAAATGCACCAGCCTGAGTAGAGGATGGGAAATACAAGAACAAATTCACAGTGAGTCCTTTTCCAGCTCAGGTCAGAATAGGTCAGTTGTGACTGAGAGGTTTGAGAACAATGGGGAGAGGATCTAGCCATTATTTAACTATGTGGAACCTTCTATCATGGGGGCTCAGCCTGTGCATAACTGTACAAGGGTGAGAAGAGAGACTTCTCAGGCTTATACAGAGGGCCTGCCCTTGTTCGGGTGGAACAGACTGTGCTGCTTGTTACTCAGGGCTAGGTCAGAGACCCAGTGAGGCAACTGAGGCAGAGACCTGTGCTTAGGAGTGGTAGTCTAAGATGAGCATCTTCATGGGACCTAAACTTTGGCCTCATCAAGGAACACATAGAGTAGCATGCAACATCTGTGAGACTCTGACCCCAGGCACATATCAGGTTCAGGGATCCAGTGCCAAATCATTCCTGGTGGCTGACACAGAATAATCAAAGCAAGAAAGCCAGACCAAAGGGGAGCCTAAAGTTCTGTCACTTTGAACCTGTACATTTTTCCAGCTGCTTGATAGTGGGTTGCGGCCAGTAGAAGTTGAGTTAGATTGAGACATGAAACTAAGTTCGGTAAATTTCAAAGCTCAGACCAGCAGTGCATGACTCAGAACTACCCAGATCAGACAGACATTTGAGAAAAAGCAAAGTTTGCAGGAGCCTTCCCTGATATCCTAGAATAACACAGCTCTCAATATCCCAAGAAAGCAACAGCAGGACCCAAGAGGACACAAACATGCCCCAGACGTTCCCTCCACAAGTCTAGAGTGCCAAGCACTAATAAAAAGTTCAAAATCTAGAAGAAGGTCCTGAAGAATGAACAAATAAAAAAAAAATCTTAAAGATCTATTCGAATAACAGCAATGCTCAAGCAACAAACTCAGAATAAGTGAATAACTTGAAAACGTTTATATGCAACATCTCAAAAGAAAACACAATTTGGGCAGAAATTCAGCTAGACTTTCTGTTGTTTAATAATTTTTTCAGTCATGTCTGACTCTTCGTGACCCCTTTTGAGGTTTTCTTCGCAAAGATTCTGGAGTGGTTTGCCATGCCCTTCTCCAGCTCATTTTACAGATGAGAAAACTAATGCAAACAGGGTTAAATGACTTGCCCAGGTTCACACAACTAGTAACCTTTATACTGCACCAACTAGTTTTTCTCCGTAAAAATTAGGGTGATCGAAATAAGATAATAAACCTACAAAACAACAATGTATATTAAAATAAAAGCAAAAAATTGAAAAGTAAATAGATGAAAATGTAAGGTATCTCATAGCAAAAGCAACTGACTTGGAAAACGGATCAATGAGAGATCACATAAAAACAAATGGATTATCTAAAAACCGTGACCAGGGGCAGCTAGGTGGCGCAGTGGATAGAGCACTGGCCCTGGATTCAGGAGGACCTGAGTTCAAATCTGTCCTCAGTCACATAACACTTACTAGCTGTGTGACCCTGAGCAAGTCACTTAACCCCCTTGCCTAGCCAAAAAAGAAAATAAAAATAAATTAAAAAAAAGAAGGTAGCAGTGAAATGAATAGTGTTTTGTGCTTGCTTTGGCAGCACATATACTAAAATTGGAATGATACAAAGAAGATTAGCATGGCCCCTGCACGAGGATGACGCGCAAATTCATGAAGCATCTCATATTTAAAAAAAATAAAAAAAAACCCGTGACCCAAAAGAGTCAGATATTATATTTCAAGAAATATTATATCTGATCAGACATCCTAGAATTAGAATGCAAAATAGACATAAAAAGTATACACCAATCACCTTCTGAAAGAAAGCTCAAAACCCAAATCCCAGGAACATTTTCACCTACATCCAGAGCTTCCTAGTCAAATAAAATATGCTGCAAGCAACCAGAAAGAAATAATTGAAATGCCAAGAAGCCAATCAACATTACACCAAATTTTTTTCTTTTTTCTTTTTTTATTAATAAATTTATTTATTTTTAGTTTTCAACATTTACTTCCACAAGATTTTGAGTTCCGAATTTTCACCCCATATCGCCCCTCCCCCCACCCCAAGGTGGCATGCATTCTGAATACCCCTTCCCTTAGTCTGCCTTCCCTTCTATCTCTCCCCGCCTTCTCTTATCCCCTTCCCCTTCTATTTTCCTGTAGGGCAGGATAGATTTCTGTACCCCATTTCCTGTATTTCTTATTTCCCAGTTACATGTGAAAACATTTTTTTAAACATGTGTTTTTAAAACTTTGGGTTCCAAATTTTCTCTCTTCCTCCCTCACCACCCACCCTCATTAAAAAGGCAAGCAACTCAATATAGGTGATATATGTGCAGTCATGCAAAACACTTTCATAGTAGATATGCTGTGAAAAACTAACTCTTATTTCCCTTAATCCTATCCTGCCCTCCCCCATTTATTCTATTCTTTCTTTTGACCCTGTCCCTCCTCAGAAGTATTTGCTTCTGATTACCCCCTTTCCCAATCTGCCCTCTTCTTTAACATCCCCCTACTCTCTTGTCCCCTTCCCCCCCTACTTTCCTGTAGGGTAAGACAGATTTCCATACCCGATTGAGTGTGTATGTTATTCCCTTCTTAAGTCAAATCCTAGAGAATAAGATTCATTCATTCCCTCTCACCTTCCCCTGTTTCCCCTCCACTATAAGAGCCTTTTCTTTTCTGTTTTGTTTTGTGAGATAATTTACCCCGTTCTACCTCTCCCTTTCTCCTTCTCCTAGTATAATCCTCTCTCACCCCTTAATTTTATTTTCCAGATATGACCCCTTCATCTTCAATGCACCCTGTGCCCTCTATCTATCTATCTATCTATCTATCTATCTATCTATCTATCTATCT